GCCTTAATGTGAGATACAACAAGAAACCCAGACAAATCCGAAGGTGTCACACGAGATCTTATTTAACAGACAGCATGAGCAGCAACTTTCCTCCACTCCCTGGTTCCTCTCTGTGGCTTTTGTGTCAGAAGCACAACTCTTCCACTTATTCTAAATGTCTCCACAACCATCATCAGCCCCAAAAATCCCTGTACTGAATTCTCCCTCTCAGTCCAAATCCACTGCGGGTTCATCTGTATTCCAAGAGAACTTTGTTTTCTTTTTCTTCCTTTCCTTCAATCCTTTTAATCCTCTAGTTCAAGCAATTAGCTCTACAAATATTAGCTGCAATCAAGGTCTAGCACATGTGGTAATTTTCTCTCTAATAAATCAATCAATTCTTTCCATGGAGTGTTTTTTTCCCTTACAGTCATTAGAAAATTACAATGCTACTTGAGGATCACCAGCAACTTGAATTAGTCAAGGCACGTCAATCAAATTTGCCAGATTTTTCTTTAAAGATGAGAAAAATGGGGTAGATTTACAAAGGCCTCTTGTCTTAGAATAGGAAGCTTGATAGACTCTTGTTGAATCTGTTAGAGAGGCCTTGGAGTATAATGATCCATTTGGAGGAAAATCAAAATCAGTACTACCAGTGACAAATCAGACAAAAACATAGAACCTCTCATTAAATAATCTAAAAATTAATAATTGGAATAATCAGCCATGCAGTGTCCGTGGGCAATGCAATATTCTATAATAGCTAATAGGTTAGCACAGCAAAGAAAAAAGAGACATAATCTAGCAAATGACCAAATTGTAGTTCTATGGCTTATTAAAATTTTTTTTCTTTAGTTAAATAGGAACTAAAGGAGCCAAACTGTGCTTCTCAGAGCTGTCTTTCACATTGGGGATAGGGCACTCTAGGGAGTAGGGAGCTGGGGAGCCCAGTGACAACTCCTTGACCACCCACCCTCCCAGTATAGCAGCTTAATTTTTGTCTTATTTGTCATGAGTTGTGTTGAGGCAATGGTTTTTCTTCTTGAAAATGATTTGAGAATCACCTATGCAGCCCAGACCACTCTTTTCATAAATACGTAAAATTAATGCCAGAGAAGGAATTCTTAATTTAGCGATAGAGCTGGAAAGAGACCCTGGACAGGATCTTCCGATGCCATGCCATACTGTCTTTTATACTTGGGGAACAAATCAGGTGAGAATTTGCATGCTTTGGGAATGGGGCTTCTTTTTTTTTTCTTTTGTTTTCAAATGGTTATAAGGAAAAACTGATGCAGCCAAGTTAGTGTGAGAAGAGGCACAAATGCTACACTGGAAGTGAAAACAGAGTCTGCCATTGTGCTCCTTTCTCTACAGACTCTCTAGTCACTCTGAAGAATTATATCATTATCCAGCACCTGAAAGGGGTCAGAGGAGGGGGAGGCCTAGTTCCATTTTCTTATGTCACCAAGTGTATTCCTATTAAGATTGAGAGAAGTAAAGATTTCAGCAGGATACTTGGTGAAAACTTGCTGACATTAATGACTCAAATTCTCAGAGAGACTGCAAGGAAAATGGTGTCATCACTGTCATTCAAGACATTTAAGATGAAATTTCAAAAGAAGGCTGTCAGGCATAATGACTGCCAGGTTCCATTATATCATTCTCAGAGGGTGGATCACACACACTACTACGCAGCCTGTGGGTGGCTGATGCTGAAGTTTGAAAGGAAGCTGCATGGAGAAGAGGCGAGGGGGGGCTGCCTCACATGAACAGGATACAGCACCATTGATATTCACATGGTGATTTGGGGGTAATTCTATGAATCGGGGCCTGGCTTTTAGTTGTGGATATGCTGAAACCTAGTGCTGAAAAAATGTAGGAAAGTTTGAGCTGTAAATGATAATGCCCATTTATTAATTTGCTATGAGCATATTCCTCTCTAGCGACCCAGATGCTCATGTCTGTGTGCATTCCAGCACTGAGCTGCCTGCAAAGCCTAGTTTGTAACCAGAAGGTAGCTATGTGAAAAGGAGATAAGGGCAGTGGCTTCCAACCTTGGCTGCACAATGCAATCACCTGGGGTGACTCGACGCTAAGGTCATACTTGAAAATCAAATAAATCTGAATCTCAGGGATGAGGACACAGACATCAGTACTTTTAAAATCTTCTCGAGTGATTCTAATGAGCAGCAAAACTCAGAACCACTGTGTCAGAGCAAAGAGTGAGGTTTTAGGCCTCAAAGGGTGAGCCTCACCCTTTCCACTCAGGGATCTTTTATGTTATAGACCAGTGGGTTTGGTTTTGTTTTGTTTTAAATCAGGAGTAGACATAGGTTTGCCAGTTTCTAAATTTGTCAAACAAAATCATTAAAAATTCAACTACCATCATCTCATTAAAGAAAGAAAAATTTAACAATAAAAATTAGGAAGGGCCTAATTTCAGGATATAACAGTAACTCAGTATGTTGTATTTATTTTTCCCATGCCTCTACAGATGAGTGAATATGTCACTACAGACTGATGCAAACTTAAGAACTGATGTGATCTAATTGCTCTCTACACCCATAATCAAGGCTTTCCTCCTTGGACAGCTTTAGATATACTTGACTGAGTTTGGGTTAATTAAACCGCTGTCCTATGGTAACTATCCTTCTCTTGCCATACCCTGTAGTAGAGGTTATTAATAGTATTGATTAAGTTGTAGGTGATTTCTTCTCCCAGGCTTTGGAAATGTTCTGTCTCTTCCAATGACAGAATATGATGATTTAGTAAGCTCAACTCTGCTTAGACATCTTAAACTAAGTTTTCTAGGGTGACCGTGGCACATATATGCCCAAATAACCACTTATTGGGGGCACTGGCACCCACTTGTTTTGCTAGTGGGCCATGATAGCAATTATTGTTAATCCAGTGGAGAATTCATTAGAGGGCCAAATAAACTGCGATGAGTTGTTTATTCTGTGTTAAGTTATACAAAATAAAAAAGACTTACTAATATTGTAAACTTCATTTTAAGTGCCTCTTTGGTATTTCTATATGGCCAGTTCTTCTGTGGCCATGTTTTTATTGCCTCTCTTCTCCCCAAATGTACACGGCATTCTAGAATGAGTTCTATACTTCGTTGTCTGTCCTTAACGAGACTGGCTGTTGTCACTCCTAGGAGAGGCGAGCTGTGAGAGAAGTTTACTCCGAGTCTATACCTCAAAGTTCCCTTCAAAGTGTGCATAACGTAGAGACCCATTTATGCTGAAAATGGTGTGAAATAAGTCTTCATTTATTAATTTTCTCTAAGCTGTCATGCTTAAAGGTGGATCAAAAGAATAGAAGCTAGCATACACATGTGCTTTTGGCCAACTGAAAAAGTTCTATTTACTGATGTCTGTGTTCTTCAAACACTCAAGATGTGTAACTAATAATGGGCTAGTCTGCCCCTGTTACTCCCAGACAAACCCAACCCAAACTGAAGTGTTTGCCATCTTTTCAAGGTCAGGGGCTTTGCTTAGAATAGAACATCAACCTCAGATGTAGAAGACCTGGATTTGAATCCCAGCTCCACTACTCTCTTCAGCAAGTTGCTTAAACTCTCTGAGCCTCAAGTTCCTTATACATAAGATAGGAATAATTTCTTTTTCTTCTTCTGTCTTCTTTCTTATTCTTCTTCCTTCTTCCCTCCTCCTCCTCCTCCTCCTCCTCTTCTCCTCCTTTTTCTCCTCCTCTTTCCTCCTCTTCTTCATTATATGGTAATTATGAGAATTATATGAGATAATTTAGGTAGAATACTTCGCAAGTTGCCAGACATAAGTTCTTACTAAACATTAACTTTGTAGGTCAGAGTTCAGGACAATAACATGGCATTAAATAAACATTCACTAGACACTTATACACACACACACACACACACACACACACACACAGAGAGAGAGAGAGAGAGAGAGAGAGAGAGAGAGAGAGAGAGAGTCTTGTGTCTGCAGAAGGAGGAATCTCATTGGAAATGTAAAGTTAAAAAGCTGTTACTGAATTCTGAACTTTAGTTTCCAGGTCTTGACCATTTAACTGGGCCTACCTGCTACTTAATCTTTGCTCATAACTGTTTCTAATCTCCCAAACAGATTGCCTTTGCTGAGACCTGTGCATTTTTATGATGAATCCATAGAGTCACCTATCTGACCACCATCCGTCCTTCCATCAATATGTCCTTATCTTTACAGATCCTGGTATTCCTTGGACCCAGAAACACATTCCCTTGCTATTATCCTAATGCAGCTAAGCTTGTTAAAGGAAAGCATTTAGAAATCTAGATATTTGCTCCTGCATTTTCATATTTCTGTAAGCCAAGAAAAATTTGAATCAAATTCTCTATTGATACATCAGGTATAAACCATGGATCTGGGAGAAATTAAGTTGGAAGGACTAGAACCCATGGTTGGTCTAGAGCACTTAATATTCATGTAGAACCCAATTCTGTTTAATATTTTTATGCTGCTATAATTAAAAAATTTTGACATCAATTATCAATACATGTACATAGGTTCTCCCTATCTCTGCTAAAGCTCCTTCCCCCACCACCAAAAACAACGACAAATAAAAACAAAAATGAAAATATTGATAAATGAACTTCTCAAGTTGCTGAAAATTTACCATCAGATTCAAGCCTGTTTCTGAAAGTTTCAACTCACCCAATCAGACAAAAGGCTGAGGAAGGGAAACATTTATCAAGTTACACGGGGGACTCCATCTGTTATCTTAGACCTTTGTTACCAAGTGACACAGAGGAGATACTTGAAGGCAGTTTGAAAGACTTTTATTTTATAGATCCTTCATCCAAAGATTTCCAATTAGGGAGAAGAAGCAGCAGAAAAGGAGAAAAGCCAAGTATGAGTGATGAAGATGCCTTCATCTACTGACATTTAACCTGGCGAGAACCATCAATGGTGAAGTTGCCTTTTCAGTTGGGATCTGTCCGTTCAGCTTCTGTAATAAATGCAGTCAAAGGGGCAGTCCCTTCCCATTGCTCACAAAGGTCTTGTTTTTGAACCTCGCCCTCACAGAGGCCGTTTCTCATCATGCCAAGTCAACAGAAGAAAATCATTTTTTGCATGGCTGGAGTGTTAAGCTTTGCATGTGCCCTCGGAGTTGTGACAGCCTTGGGGACACCGTTGTGGATCAAAGCCACTATCCTCTGCAAAACGGGAGCTCTGCTCGTCAATGCCTCAGGGCAGGAGCTGGACAAATTTATGGGTGAAATGCAGTACGGGCTTTTCCACGGAGAGGGCGTGAGGCAGTGTGGGTTAGGAGCAAGGCCCTTTCGGTTCTCATGTAAGTAGCAATTGCATTTGAATTATTTAATACTTTAGGCAGACTCTTCCCAGTGTTGTGAGGAATTATATTTGACAGTTTTGCCCTGTTTATTGCAGGACTTTTTAAACTGGTGTGAACCATATGAAAAACCTATGACTCTGAGGAATTTCTTCTTCCTGGTTTTTATTATTTTATATTTGCTCTTTTTATTGTAACATAGAGTTAATTCATTGTTACATAATTAAGGTTTTTGGAAATATTAGCAATTAAGATTCGTAAGTATTAATATTTATGTAAGAAATTATGGAGTCTTTTTTAAAAAGTAAACTTGGGGAAATAGGAAAGCTGTAAAGAATGATCTTTATGCCTTTTATTCTTTATAATAAGAACCAAGGTTATGGGCTCCCTACTTAACCCTACCTGCTTTGCCACCTTTTTCATGATTTTGTTTCCTGCTCCCCACTCCCTCCCATTATTTCTGCTAAGACCTCTGCTGCTGCTAAATATTCAGTTTTCATTTTTAACCAATCTGGAATCATTTGGCTGTAGAAATTTAAAATGATCTGCTGTGCTAACTGGGAAAGAAATGGATGCCTATGTAGTATAGAAAATTTTAAACTGATTGACCTGCAAATCATGTAGAGAATATGCGATTTTCTTGTCTTGATTTTTGTGAAATGGAAGTGTTATCCACAGTATTTATAACCTGTTTATCTTAAGAAGAGAATTTTTAAAAATTACCATGTGAATAGGCAACTCATTAAATGAAAATTAATAAGAAGTCATTTGTTATATCTCTCACAACACACATTCAGAAGTTATTATTATTTCAGAAGGGCTGGTTTGGAACAATCTTATGAAGACACAGTCAGTAAATTACTGCATAAATCACTCTTCAGGAAAGGAGGTTACCAATTGAAGCATTTAAAATGAATTATTATTTTGCCCAGGTTTTTTTTTTCCTTCTAGTATAGGTAGAAGGCTAAATTAATTGAATTTATTATTAACATATGCAGTGCCTAATTAAATTTCAGTGCTGGTCTATTTATATTTCTGCGACATTCCTTATATCTTCTTAGCAGTCATTGGACACCAACCTTCAGCTCACATAGGTTACTAAGTGATATGAATTTTCATAGGGCTCCAGAAAATTTCCAAGAGTTAGTCATCAGCTTTTTAATCGATGAAGTGGATACCAGGTCTTTTCACTGAATGGCTTTTATTCATTAAGGTAATGGGGCTGTTAGAGTTGCCTAGTTTTCCTCGGGAAGGGGGAGGAAGAAAACAAAGCAGAATGTCATGTGATATGCAACTGTATTAAAAAACCGAAAAGGAAAAAAGATGAGAGCGATGATTTAACCATGAGTCACCGGCAGCCAAGGCGTGAGTAAAACTTCTCACAAAGGAATTTAGACAAAAGCAAAAATACTGGTGAATTTTCTGGAGCCTTTACATTTTCTACAGTGAAATGGAGATAAACTTTACTCATGCCATATGACATGTTTCAAAACAATAATAAGATGTTTTCTGAACACTTACTACATGCTAAGCACTTTATATGCTTTGTCTCATTTAATCCTTACACAGCCACATTCTTCTGGGGTTCAGCGAGTGATTTTTGTGGTTGTGTCCTATGCTGGTCCTGTCGAGGATGAAGTTGTTCTAACTGGATACCCCTCCCTTTGCTTTCTGTGAGGACTCACAGAACTGGTAGGGCTTAAACAGTACTCTCACTTATCTCACAGAATTGCATTAGTTCCCACATACCCCTAACATTCCCCCCCAGCCTAGTGAAGAAATTCTTCCATTTACTTTTTTGTTCTGCAGTGACAGCTCCATCTATATACAATAGACTATACATATTAAGTGTACTGTATATACTATACATATTAAAACCTCTTTCATTTTGGTGAGGCCCAGCAAAGAATACTTACAGTATAGCTTTTTTTTTTTTTTCCTAAGCATAAAAGTATCTTTTTCAATGCAGCATGAGAGAGAGTTGGGAAAATGAAAATAAACAGATCCAATGGACTCCCCAAAGAGCATAATATTCATTTAAATAGACACCCCTCTCAGTGTTAAAACTTCCTAATCAACATGCCTTTGGGACACGTTGCACCCTTGAAGTTTACATTCCCATTGCAATGCAGCTTCATGGTTCACATTTTTTCCATTCAAAATGTCATTACCCTGTCAATGATGTTTCATCAACGTTTGCTTGGATGAGAATCCTCTGATATTCTTCCTGATAGAAATGTATAAGCCCTGTTCATATAAATGAATAAAAGGTCTAGCCTTATTTTCTCAGTAGTGGCTTCCTTGGAGCAAAAATCAGGGACCTTCAGAGAGCTCAGGTGAATGACTCTTTTCTGTTTTTTCCAGAGCCCAACTTCTAATTAGCGTACAATTCATTTCCCAGCATGTCTTCTTTCTTATTTTGCCTTTAGAAAGTTGTTAAGCAAACATTTGAATTCACAGAATCGTACCAGTGTAGGAAGAATGGAAAAGGTAACTTATCAAGGTAAAAATCACTTCGTGGCCAGTTTTCTTGGCTCACTGCAACCTCCCCCTCCTGGGTTCAAGCGATTCTCCTGCCTCAGCCTCCCAAGTAGCTGGGACTACAGGCGTGCACCACCACGCCCACCTAATTTTTTTTGTATTTTTAGTAGAGACAGGGTTTCACCGTGTGGGCCAGGCTGGTCTCATGGCCAGTTTTCTTTGTGTTGTCATGTTATCATCAATTAATAGGAATTTATATTTCAGTTCTGTTAGGTGGATAAACACTATTTTGCATACCTAAACTTTTCATTTATATCAGCATTGCCCAATAAAAATATACTACAAGCCACAAATGCAAGCCATATATGTACTTTGAAATGTCCTAGTAGCCACATTAGAAAACAAAAGTAAAAAGCAACAGATGAAATTAATTTTAATGATTTTTTTAAACCCAAGATATCAAAAATCTTATCATTTTAACATATAATCAAAAATTTATTGAGATGTTTTACGTTCTTTTTTTCTTGATGCTGTCTTGGAAATCTGGAGTGTATTTTACATTTATATTACATCTACTTCAGTCGAGCCACATTTCACATGCGCATTTTTTTGTGTGTGGTTTTAAGGAGAAGAGAGTTTAATAGGCAAGAAAGAAAAGAGAAGGCAGAAGGAAGAGGTTCCCTCATACAGAGACAGAGGTTGGGGGGGGCTCCAAAGTCAAAAGACGAGGTCCCTAAGTGCGGTGGACACCAGCCAGGTATATATGCAGAGTCTGGAGGAGGTGCTGTCTCATTTGCATAAGGTCACATGCTCATTTTTATGGCTACTGTATTGGTCAGTACAGATTTAGATGGGGATTTGCTCTGAACAAGTTGGTCATTGATGGTGTTCATATTCTGATTGAATTTTTCCTGGGTTCTGCTGTATAAGTCCATGTGTGTTATTTTCATGTGCAATGCTTGCATCACTTTTAAAACCCAGATATATGGCATAACGTGAGAATGAAAAATGGACCAGAAAAATAGTTTGGCAATGTAGTCATGTTTGTTCCTATAAATGTTCCCTGTTGACCACTCTATCTCTTTTAATTATAACAAGAATCTGCCCTGCCAGCACGCACAGTTATGCTGGGAAAACTTCTGCCTCATTTACTCTGGCTGATTCTCATCCACTTATGGGTCAGTGGTTCATTTTCTAGAGGTCACCAGCATTCATACCTAGCACACAATTTCATTTATTATAATGAAGGAATGTTTTCCTTTCAAAGAGGCACAACTGGTGGGCTTAATTTTTCTTGATATGTCACCTGTAAAATTTTAATGATGATGTTTAAACTCTAAATGTAGCCATCAAGACAAAAACTGCCAATTTTGAGCTCAGTGTGTGTGGGTGGGTTTCTGTTTTGGTAATTTGAAACATCGCAGAATATCATCAAAATACGATACCCAAGAATCATATGGTATCAATCGTTCCTAGATATACTGATCTATTCATTGCCAAGACAGTTCATGAGCTGGTAAAAACATATGGAATTATTTTCTTAAAATGTGAAAAATAAAATTTAACCAATCATGTATCACAGCTTGCAACTTTAGTCGTACTTTGAAAAGCATTTTAATTTGGACCTCATGATAGAAAATTTATAAAAAGCTGAACAGAAATTAGTTCACTTCATATTTTAGAAAAGCAGCGTTTCTTTACTAAATGAGGCATTTGACCCAGATTGGAGAGAAAATGTTGAAACTACTTCTATGAGCAAGCAGGTGGCTTCTCAAACACATGTTGGGATGAAATGGCTGGGGCTCAGGGGCTCAGTGCCTGTCACTGAGAGTTGGTACTCTCTATCTCCATGGTATCCTCCAAGTGTGACTCTTGTCTCTTGCTGACCTGACCTGCCCCAGGTGTCTTACTGGTCATGACTCTGCACACCTTGCATCTCTCCTATCACCCTGCCTATGGCAAAGCTACAAAGGTCTTTGATGTGGCTCTGTCTGATATCCTGTGTTTCCTCCTATGGTCTGTGTGGAAGCAGGTATGGGGGTGTGTAGAGGGGAAGCCTATGAAGTTCATCTGCAAAGACTACTTGGTTAGGGGAAGAGGGAAAGAAGCCATATGCACCATTTCACCAGCAAGCATGGGCTCTTCTGCTTTTTCGCTTAGGGGTCCTGTTGTCTAGTCTCACTCACCTATTAAAACAGTCCAGCAAATAGAGGTTTTGTTTACCTCCTATTACAAAAAAAGCAATTAATGGAATAGAAGATAATAATGTATGAGAAGCACTATTATGAAAGAAAAACCTTCAGCTTCTCTCAGCCAAATAATTGTTTCCTCCTCTGTCCTTCCCAGACCTTGATGTTTGCTCTATTATTTCAAAACAACTATATTATAAATATTTGAGAATGTGTATTTCTCTGCAAGGAGATCTTAATCCCCAAGAAGGCAGGAGCTGTGTATTATTCATCCCAGGGCTCCTTCACACCAGGGCCTCAGACAGTGCATGGCCCAAACAGGTACTTAAT